TTTTAAAATTACTGAAAATCTCATACATTGCTGATGGGAATGTAAAATGGCACAAGCACTCTGGAAAATGGTTTGGCAGTTTCTTACAAAGTTAAACATACAATTACCATATGACGCAGCAATTGAACTCCTAGATACTTATCCTGGAGATATGAACACTTAGGTTCACAAAAAAACCCATATGTGATTGTCTATATCAGGTTTATTTGCAGTTGCAAGAAACTATAAGCAACCCAAATGTTCAATGGGCAAATGTATAAATTGTGATGCATTCATGCTATGGAGTACTACCAGCCAAAAGGAATAGACTATGGATAACACCCAGCAACTTGGATGGTTCTTATGGACGTTGTGCTGAGTGAAAAAGCCAGTCTCAGAGGTCACATACTGTATGATTCCATTTATATAACATTCTCACAATGACAAAATTACAGTGAGTGAGATCAGCGGTTGCCAGGACTGTTGGGGAGGGTGTGGCTATAAAGGGGTAGCATGAGGGAGATCCTTGTGTTAATGGAACATTTCTGTATTATAACTGTGGTGATGGTTATACAGATTTATACATGTGGTAAGATTTCATAGGAACAATGCACCCCCTCCCACAAATGAGTGATATAAAAACTGGTAAATACAAATAAAGTCTGTAGTTTAGCTAGTAAGTGTTGTGCCATTGTCAATTTCCTGGTTTTGATACTATACTATGGTTATATAAGTTACCATTAGGGGAAGCATACCTGAACTCTCTGTGCAGTTTTTACAACTTCTTGTGAATGCTAAATGATTTCAAAATAAGCTTAAAAACAAAACAAGGGAATTGAGAAAAGATAGAAATAGCAGCTGTGGCCACAGGTCCGTGTGATCAGGTATTGAGACTTACCATCTTGCAGAGAAACTGGTAGGGGAGTCATCATTGGCTTTGGGGCTTTATGGCTACTGGTTGTGAATGGAGCTCAAACAGATGAGAGGCTCTAAAAACACAGGATGAATGGACTTCCAGTTAAGCACAGCAGATTGACCATGGGGTTTTTTTGTTTTTTGTTTTTTTTCTTCTAAGAATACATTGAAATGATAGCAGCAGAACTTAAAAAGGAATTGGGGGAGAAAACCCCATAAATCCATGGTATAAAAGCTTGAGAAAAGACTTAGCAGTTGACAAAAGGCCTAAGAAAATCTGGGGTGATAGAAAATGGACAGAGGAGTTGTAGCTGCCTTAAGAAAACCTAAAGAATCTGCAGTGGGAGAACTGACAAGGGCTGAGCCATTCACCCCTGGAGGCTGAGGAGCAGCCCCACAGAAGGTGGGGGGGTGGAGGGGGACACCCAGGGCTAGCGTAGGAGTTACACAAGCTGGTTGGACTGCCAGTTTCCCTTCCCTACCCCAGCCACCAGTACTACCAGCAGCTCCCTCTGCCTGGCTGGCCGACTGGAGATTTAATCTTAGGATATATTGAATCAGAGGAGTTCTCGATGTGGAAACACCAGCAGAAGGGAATAAACCTTGGAGTAGAGAGCAGGGGAGTTCAGTAAAAATCAGCCCAGTAAACTGTGGAATTCCCAACCCACTCCCCTTCCTGATGGGGGAAAGCTGACCATTTGGTGACTGCCTCCTCCCCTACCCTTCATAGAAAAGGAGAACTTCTCTGAAGAGACTCAGTGGACCCTGGTTACTGTCACAGGGCCAGTTTCTCTATAGCTGACTTGTCCGGTCACTCCTAATGAAGCCTCTTGTCAACAACCACCCTGTGTATACACCCACACCCACAAGCTCCCAGCCAGCATTTTAGGGCTTTACTTTTAAATACGAACTGGAGATCAGGGATCACCAGATGTTTGATGAAAGCTTCCAACACAAAAGACGGACATCAAACAAAAGAAATAATCAGAAGATAATATGGGGAACTGGAAGAAAATGACAAATACCACTTTCAGTTTATTCAAATTAGAGACATATTACAGTCACAAAACAAGAATAGGATGCTTTTAAAAAGGAATAACCAAGCTTTGCGCAGTGGCAGCATCGTAGCCAATGAGGTTTATCTGAGGCGTGATTATTGCTAATTGAAAAAAGGAATAACCAGGGGCGCCTGGGTGGCTCAGTTGGTTAAACGACTGCCTTCGGCTCAGGTCATGGTCCCGGGGTCCTGGGATCGAGCCCCACATCGGGCTCCCTGCTCGGCAGGAAGCCTGCTTCTCCCTCTCCCACTTCCCCTGCTTGTGTTCCCTCTCTCTCTGTCTCTCTCTCTCTCTCTCTCTGTCAATTAAATAAAAAAAATCTTTAAAAATAAAAAAATAAAAAAAAAAGGAATAACCAGTGGAGCCTGGTTGACTTGGTTGGTTAAGCATCCAACTCTGAGTTTCAGCTCAGGTCCGGACCTCATGGGTTGTGGGATTGAGCCCTGCATTGTGCTCTGCGCTCAGTGGGGAGTCTGCTTGAAGTTTCTCTCCCTCTGCCCCTCCCCCTGCTCTCATGCTCACTTGCTGCCCCCCCCCACCATGCTCCCTCTCTCTCAAATAAATAAATCCTGAAGAAAAATGGGGGCGGAAGCGGATAACTAAAAACTCTGAAAGAGCCCTAATTAAAAATACAGTATAAAAGTTTAAAAAAAACAATGGGGGAGCCTGGGTGGCTCAGTCAGTTAAGCGCTCGACTCTTGGTTTCAGCTCAGGTCATGAGATCCAGCCCCACGTGGGCTCCATGCTCAGTGAGGAGTCTGCTTGAAATTCTGTCTCTCCTCCCTCTGCCCCTCCCCACTCTTGCACGCACTCTCTCCCTCCCTCTCTCCAAAATAAATCTTAAAAAATAAAATAACGTAATAAAAGAGTTGGAATGTGAAGTTGTCTGTCAGAGATGGGGGAACAAAAAGTGGAAAAAAAAGTAAAATGATTAGAGAAGAAATCAGGATATGTAAAATCCTTGTCAGAATTCCAGAAAGTAGGGAGAGATAAGAAACATTTAAAATAGATTTTTCAGACCTAAAGGACATAATTTTTTATATGGAAGAGGTGAATCAAGTGCCCAGTAAAATAAATGAACTAAGTCCCACACTGAGACAGACCATTATGTGGTGTACAGGGCTTCCAGAAATAAGCATCCCCCTACCAAAGTCCTATACAATGGAAGAAGAAATGACGGCTGACTTCTCAATAGCAAAACTGGATGTTAAAAATAGTGGAGCAATTATCTTTAAAATTCTAAGGGAGAATCACTTGAGCTCTGTAATACTCTACCCAGCGAAATATCAGTCAAATGTCAAGGTAAAGATAATTTCAGACACACGGGAACTCAAATTTACCTCTTATGCATCATTTCTTAAGGTTGTTCTTGGAGAATGATCTCCAGCAAATAGGAATTAATGAAGAAAGAGGAAGGTGTGGAGTCCAGTTAATGAGAGCTCTAACACGGGATCAGGAAGGGGACATGCAAGGGTAACAGCGTGGCAGGGACAGGCCAGACTGAGCAAGAGGACGGAGAGTCCTTGGAGGAAGTTTTGGGGGTGGGGGGGGAGTGGAATGGAAGATTAGCCGACAACTTTGTGCATTTGAAAAATACTGATAGACTTCTGCTAGATGTGATAGAGCATGTGGAAAAATTTAAGGTGGATTCATGGAAAACTAAGCTGGGAGGAGGGGGATGAGATGATTGCTAATCCCAGGAGAAACAAAGACTGTACCAAGAAAGGAAACATAATCCTTAGTACATTCCTTGTATATTTACAGAGTCATAATAAACCCTGACTATCGACTTACCAGGAAATTGCCGTTTACTTATATAGGAAGGATTGAAGTAGGGAAAGTGGGGTGGTGTGGAGAGCTGAGCCCTCATCTCCTATGGTAGAAAGCCAGTAGTTATCATCCAAAATTGAAAAATCAAGACTATTATCCCAAACTATGGCAATAAATACAAGAATAAAAGCTTAGTTGAAAGTGCTCTTGGGAGTAAGTTAAGATTTGAGGGAAGGTTGAGCCAGGAGTTGTTTTTCATGATAAGCCTTTATCACTGTTTGATAAAATAAAAGTTACTGTGTTCTCTCTGTACTGATTTATAAAGGGGAAACTTTTTATCCTGCAGAGCATATATATCAAGTATCTGCCCCCTTGAATGGTGGGTATTTTTCATTCTTTTTATTGCCTGGTCCTCTGCAAACAGGTTCACATTTTGAGAGGGAATAAGGAGACTTGAGTGGTCGATCTGGAATGATTAATACTGTGAAGCTCATTATTTGTAGGTGGAGCAAATACATTCAGTTGCCATGTGTTCTGAGTCAAGAGGTCAGAGCCCCACAGGAATTATCTATTGTCTCTACTTCGATTTAGGATATTTTAAGTTTGATCAACATTCCAAATAATTGCCTGTCTTAGTACTTACTGTAGCATTTGTCTCTATGTTTATGACTTTCTAGTGCCACAGGAATGACACTTTTAAAAATGAAAACCATGACATTTGCACAGCTGTGGCATCATGAAATCCATGGGAGGGAAACCATGCCTTCCCATCTGCTGTGTGCACAGGACCTACCACTTGGTGGTTAATACCTAAGTACTTTGTGAATAAACAAGCGCTCTCAGAAATTTCTGTTCAGTTGATCACCAAAACATTGCTCATATAATTAAGTTCCGATCATGTGCACCTGTTTTTAACATTAGCCTGACAACCATTAACCTGCTTAAACCCCAAAGGGACCACCGGCTTCTGGACCCGTAGCCCCTGTGGGGTGTGCTTTGTAGGTATGCATGTCTGCTACTTGCTCCATTTACAGTAGGTTCTAGGCAACCCTTGGGCAATGGAAACCTGCCAGGATTACATGCCTTGCTGGTGCAGGGACCCTGTTCCATCTGTAAGGAAATATGTGCTCTCCATTATTTTGAAATAAACGTTCATGGCTTTGTAGACTCTACTGTCAAGCATACATTGGTATCCCAGGCTATGTAGTGGCAAAATCTGAAGATTATTTGATCAACTGTTTGCTTATTTGTTTTGTTTTGTTTTATTTGTCAGAATGTTATGGAACAGTTCAATCCTGGGCTACGAAATTTAATAAACCTAGGAAAAAATTACGAAAAAGCTGTTAATGGTAAGTCTCTTTTCTAAATTTATAAATATAGTGCACATATAAAAACCAGTAAATATTTTAATTATTTTGAAGCGCTTAGTAGTGAATTTTTAAAGTGTCTTTAAGTTGAGAGAAATTATTTACATTTAATTCTGTGGAAGTTTGCAATGATAGGATATTGGTGTATTTGAAATAAATAAATGGAATCATAGACTTATAACTGATGCATTTTAATGATCAAATCATGGTTATTGACATGACTCGTGTTTTATATCATTGCCATCAATAGGTTTTCCACTTCACAAACCAAATTCTTTGTGAACTAATAACATATGAAATATGTACCTAAAATATTTGTTAGTATCTTGTAGTAGAGGAATTGTTCTCTTTATATAGAAGAGTTTCTTGCCTTTGGGTGCATAACTTTTGATAGTGATATGAACAGATTTTTAACCTGAATGGAAAAACATCTAAATTAAAGGTTGAACTTAGATTCTCATTTCAAAATGAGTGCTTCCTGTAAAATGAATTCAAGCATTGGCTTTTGCCTCTCTTTTGTGAACCAGATTTGTTTGCTAGTTTCAGGAGGTTTCATTTGAGAAAGCTGACATGCATCTACACATGCATTTCCCTCCTAAAAGGTGAATGTTACCAATGATCACCTTAAAAACTTGAGATGCTAATAATCACCAGATTCTAACATGGTCAAAACAATTCTCCTTATGTAACAAGTATCACCCCAAAATATTCAGACCCCAGTTTCACCCTCTACCCTGGTTCACTAAGACCACCAATAACATGAGTAGAATAGTTTCCAACGGTTTTAGATTTGAAGACGACTTCAGATCAGGTTTTGTCTTTTATATATCTCTTGTTTCTCCCTTTTACCATGGCCCACCTTTGGCTGCTCCCTCTTGAGATTTTGAAAATAAACCCGTGACCTTACACACCCGCAGCATAAGCATGCCCCAGGAAAAGGCGGTATTGGTAGCTGGACTTTGGATGACAGGTGCCCAGTTGTCATAGCCATGGAAAAGTAAAGTGCTTATTTACTTTCTTTTGCATCCCTGTGCTGTTTGCCAGACATTTTCAGCGCTGGGAAATCCTCCCTCATCCCCCACGCAGTATCAGTGACTTCTGTAGGTAACCCGTCACCCCTTCAAAGAGCAGGAAGGAGACTTGTTTTAGAATTCTTGCACAGCTGCCTCTCCCTTGATGACTGCTTAGTCACAGGGCCACAAAGTCATTGCCTTAGATGCCCCTGTGAAGGAAATCACCCTGACCTGCAATGGTTTTTTTCTTTCTAGCACTTGCTGCCTCTCTGATGCAGAGTTTTATAAGGTCTCAGGGACCTGCCAGCCCTTTAGTCCCTTGCTAACAAGGCTTCTCCCCAAAGGGACTATTCTGCACTTCTAAAGTATTTCCAGTATTTTTGGCAGGCCATCTGTTTTTTTTTCTGAAGCCATTGAGAAATCGAGATGAATTTGTAAAGTCTTGGTAAGAATTTGTGGCATAGTTTAGGATGCCAGATGTGTAGTCAACACTTAGGTCGTAAATCAGGACAACATGCACGGCTAACAAAGAGCATGGAATGAGCTGTGTCACAGGAATTTGAGTAGTGGAGGTTGGTGGGGAACGGAGCAGGCAGTGGACCTTGTAGGAGCTCTGCTAGCTGACAGACCTTATGTTTCAGACAGAAAAGACCGCATCCAAGCCAAGATCTGAGGTCCACACTGCCATGGGTGGGAAGCTGTTGGGGAATAATAAAATGCAGCATGGAGTAGGGGCAGGTTATGAATGTATTTGAATGCAGCATCAGTTACCTATTGTCATATAATCAAGTGTCCCTAAACTTGGTGGCTTAAGACAACAATAGTTTATCATTTCTCAAGGTCCTGTAAAGGTAGTGCAGTTCTCTAGCCCCCAGGGACTCAATCCTGCAGCTGCAGTTAGTGGGGGTGCTGGGCTTCCTCCCTCCCTCCCTCCCGGGGACATAGCTGGCTGTTCCAAGAGTGCAAATCCCTGTGGGAGTTATACTTGCTGGCACCCCATTGGCCAAGGCAAGGCAGATGACCAAGCCACCCATCAGTGTATAGGCAGCTACAGAGGTTGGGAATTCTGGGAGGTATGGTTTATTGAAGGCCATTACTGTACAAATCTATCGTGAACTCTCTGGAGTATGGGCTTACGCTATAGGCAGTGGAGGCCATTAAAAGTTTTTGAGCAGAATTGTAACCTAATGAAATCATATTTTAAGGAAAAGTTATCTGGTAGAAGTAAATAAATTAGATTGAATTAATTGGTCAACCACTAAAATAGGACAAATATGCTTTGTTCCTTAAAACAGTAAGTGATAGAAAATCTCTTAATGTAGTCACAAAGTGGGGATGGCAAAATTATGAGAATATTAGTTGATTCTTTATTAAGTTCTGGATAAATTATATAGTTTTTAAAGTTAATTCCACTTTATCGTAAAAGCAAGGGAATTTTACCATTCTGAGGTTAGTTTTAAAAACAAATCATCCGTTAATGAAAAATTTCAACGTAATGTGTGAATGCAAACCAAAAATTTTGTTTATATATTGTGTAAATCTGCATGCCATTCTCCCACCGATCTGCCTTTCAGCTTTATCAGTGTCTTACAATTTAAAATCTTCATATTAAAATATTACATGTATTAGCTTGACAGTTTATTGGCCACCAACCTTGTTTTTAGGTGGAGTCCTCTCTTTTTCAGTTCTAGCTGAGACCAAGGAGTCAAAAAGCACTATAATTTAGGACTGGGGAAGTGACCTTAGGTGGAGTTGTATGCGTACTCCCTCTGATTTGCCACTGACCTTGGCATGTTCCAGCATATCTCCACTCCCTCCTTCATGAAACAGGGTGATAATACCACTGACCCATGTCTTCATATTCTTGGGTAGATGAACTTAAGTAATGGCTTGGAAAGTCCACATAAATGCTACTTGTTATTGTTCTTTTTTACAATTATACTTTAAGGTTATTCTCAGATTTATGAAATAACTGTATAATAGAGCGTCACAGTTGTTAAACTTGTACAGATATATAGTAAAAGCCGTAACTTCTGTAATATTTTAACTCAACAAGAAAGGCGAAAATGAATGAATTTGCCATGAAAATACTACTTTTTTGGCCAGTAATATCTTCAGCTGGACGTGTACATAATTTGTTCTGTGGGCCTCCCCCCCTTTTTATATTTGAAATGCCTTTTTAATTCACCATTTTTTTTTAAAGATTTTATTTATTAATTCACCATTTTAAAACAATACCCATTATAAAATTGGGGCAAAGCAGTTGGCATGACCTCTGGTTTTCTTTGCAGTAAAAGGAAAGGAATCTTAGAGATTCCTAAGGGCTCTTTTAGCTCCAAAATTCTGTATTCTTCAAAGTTAGTCTTTGAACTAAAATAAATTTTCTTCAAAATCACCCTAAGTAGGCTAGGTCTTGTTGAAAAGCCTGCTTGTTGTAAAGTGAAAGAAGGAATCCATATTAATAGCTTCCATTTGTTTGTTCATTGGTCACGCTATTAGGACATTTTATAGATGACCGTCCTTTGTTTCAGAAAGGATAGCTTCCTTGCCCAAGGAGGTCATGTTATTAGAAGTAAAGGTAGATGAGCAACCAGTAACTTGAAATAAACATGTACTTTCCCACTCTGGTGAAAAAAAAAAAAAAGGTAGAATTCAAACCCAGGTCTCTCTTGCCCCCCGTTTCTCTCCCCAAAGGAAAAGAAAAGAAAAATCAAAAACAAATTTTTGTACCTTATAATTTAGTTATCAGAATCAATTGGAAAGGAGAGAGTATTTTTAAGATGATTAGGATCCAGTTTCTACAGAAATAAAAGTTTCCCTTATCTCTGCCAAAAAGGTGGTGGGGGGAGGATAGAATCTTCAGTTATTTTTCAGGTAATTCTGTTCTGTTTTTAGAATGATAATGTATTTCAAATTTCATAGATTTTCCCCCTGACAACAGTTATTGGTTGTGGCTCAGAATACCTTTTTCAATAGAAAGAAAAAAAAAAAGCTATTGAAAGACCAGGTTCCTGGGCCATCCCATACAAGTTCTTTTAACAAATTAATGTTACAGACCTGTATATCTATAGAATAACCATCTGAGAAAAGATTTCTTGCTGAAGTGGATGTGTTTGTAGCCCTAATTTGATGTTGAAAACATATCCACTCTGGCAGGGCCTTTTCTGGACTTCCAGAGCCTGCTGTTGAAGGTTCCCCAGGTCTGGTCTAAGGTGAGGATCCTATAGGGTTTTCCACCGAGTGGGGGCCTCTGGAAGTGCAGTGGAGGGACCTCTGCCCCTGGCACAGCTATTAAGCACAAGCCCTGCCTTCTGAGAGCCACCCTTGGCACAGCCCAAACCTTCCTGCAGCCAGAAGGGACTGAGGGATATGTGGAAGCAAACCTCCGTGGCACTTCCTCTTTCCTTTGTCTAAGTGATGACTTTTGTGTGTCACCTTCCTTGTCTAGCTATGGTCCTTGCGGGAAAAGCCTACTACGACGGAGTGGCCAAGATTGGTGAGATTGCCACCGGGTCCCCTGTGTCAACAGAGCTGGGTGAGCAGACCGTCCATTATATACAAACACAAGTTGAGCTGGTTCCAGGGCCTTTCCTCCTGTGAGCCCTTGTAAGAATACATGAAGTGGCCCAAATCCAGATAGTAAGAAAGGCTAGCCCGGTACTCCAGTGTGTTCACTTCTGGAATGATTGAGTTTGCTGTGGTCTACCCTCTAACTAAGGTAGGCCAAGGCCAGTGGCTGGTCTCCCTGCTCCCTAAGAATTGGGCTTCTGCCTCTAAACTTGGGGCCCTAGCCCTTCCCCTTGGATCCCTGGAGCATGAAGCCCAGGGAGCTTTGACCTACATTCTTAAGGAGATGGGCACGGCGGGCCTCCTGACTCTGGCAGGAGTGTTTCCTGTGACTCACCTAGCAGAAAGTCAGACTCCTTTACGTCCTGCTCTTGGCTCTCGCTGCTTCCACAGTTGCTCTCCGTTGTGATTTTTCCGGTTTTGCTGGTATGAATTGATCTCCTGTGCACATGAGGAGGTACCCTTGGCACCAGCAGCTGCTGAGGGAATCTGGGTTTCTGTTTACAGAGTCCATTCACTCCTCCTCCTAAGGGTGGAAAAGTCACTGCTTTTCCTTTTCTGATAGCCCCACACATAACAATCATTTTTAAATCTTGAATAAAGGATGAATATGTTTTATTTTAAATATTTTATTTTACAAAGGGTAACATTTCTGGCTTCAAAATATTTGTCATAATTTGAAATGTTCAGAATAGCAGAGGAAGATATTGGTAATGTGTATTGAAAGAAAAGTGTTTCTCCAATTAACAAGCAGCAAGGGAAGCTGGGGGGGGGGTGCTTGTAGGATTCAAATAACTCACATCATTTCTATATAAAGTGTCTTAAGGGTTTTCAAGATTGTTTGGAGAACTCTTACCTGACCCATAGAAGTGGAGGAACAAATTCAAGGTGTGATAACAGTGCTGGGGTTGGGGGCTGGGCTGCAGGATGTGAAGTGGAACTGGGAGCTCAGGAACATTCTCTGACAACTTCGGTTCTTGGAGAGTTTGTAAAGAGTCTTGAAACCTAAGCCTGAAGTGATGTCGTGTGATGAATAAGTCCGTACTACTCTATTTAATGGAATCAGTTACATGCAGACATTTTTCAAAGCCCTGACTTGTGTTCTGTTGGTTCCGTCACTTGTGTGTGTTCTGGCAAGGGATGGACTCTAGAAACTCTGTCCTCAGCAGAGTTGGTTTAATAAAATACACACTGCCTTGTGTAGACAGAAGCAGGTAGTAAAACTTAGGATGATGGAGATGATTAGAGGTTTCCAAAAATAGGATTAAATTAAAAAGAAACATCCTATTTGTGTCAGGCGCCACGGGAAAATGTATGACCCCTACGTCAAACCATATGGTGCTCTGATTCACCATCATTCAGTTTGCCTTTTTAATATTTTATGGTTCTTGCCACTGTTTAAATAAGATTTCTGTTCCACACCTTACTTTATTCAGCTGTAAATTCATAACGTTGAATCAGCTATTTCCACAGCAACTGTGTTGTTGTAAACACAGGCTGAAAACTTCTTCAGTTTCAATGAGGAAAATATGTTGCAGTGGCGAAATTTCTTTCATGTGGATATGCGTTTTATTTGGAGGGAATGGAAATAACTTCTGTGTTTTATTTTTGTTTCAAGTTGTCTTTTTTGCTTATATTCACCATGTTATATAGTTAGTAATTTTCTGCTCATCTGCAGCAATTTCACAATAAAGTGCCACCCTAGCAAGCGTTGCTTTCGGAGGCCTACTGTTTAACTTGTTTTCATGTGCCTGGTTTTTTATTTTGTTTAAAGTGTAGACTAAAATACTACCCTATGTCTGTTTAAATTCCCTGTATGAAAGACCAATGAATTCATAGAAGAAAGAGACCTAAGGTAGATTGTATTTCTCTCATTTTTCAAGGTTTTATTGTCTAATTACTGACTTGTGATGTTGGTTTTCATAACTTTATTATGAAACATTATAAATCCCATCTGATAAGACTGAAGGGGCATTTCATATGTGAAGATCATGAATCAATTCAAAATTTTCATTCCTGAAGAGTATTGTCTCTGAAAAATCTTTGTGTGTGTCCCTCCCCCACTCAAACCCCAGCAAATCCTAGTTTGAAAATTTTCGGTTTAAAAATTTTGCTCAGGAAGGAAGTGAAAGGGATGCTGAAGAATTCTTATTTCTAAATCTGAGATTACAAGAGTAGTTTTCATTTTAATGTTGAATTCAAATATTTTTTAATGTTGCTGTAGGACAACCTTATTTTATATACTTTTTTTTCATGAAATTATACTTATTCTGATACTTTTGTACTTTGGGAGGCGGGTGAAGAAAATATGCTCTAGGTAAAATATTGACCTAATTCATAGAAATTTGCTGTGAGGATTCTACTTGGAAAACCTGGCCAAATGTATTATGAGTATTAGAGTGGCAGAACTGAGCATTTCAGTCTCTCTTCTCACTTTAGGGGGGGAAAAGGAGCTAAAAGCTGGAGGAAAAAGGTGATTCACCTTTTGCTTATTTTGTACTTGTCATTTGGATTGGCATCTATTAAGACAGAGCTGTAACCATGCCATTTCTGATTGCTATGGGTGTTTCCATTTAGATATCCCTCCTAACATATCAGCTCACCAAATGCTACGTGCTTTTGCCTAAAAGTAACAAATACCCAATTAATAGTGGCTTAGGCATTAAGGATGTTCATTAACCCACATAAAAAAGCCAGGAGTAGCAGATTCCTGGTGCGGTAATGATTACTCAGAACTCAGGTTCCTTCTCCTCATCCTCAAGCCCAACTCATGGTACCAAGATGGCTGCCATTGCTAGTCTTAGACATCACATCCTCTCTCCTCCCATTGTATCCAAAAGCAGAAAAGGGAATTTCTTCTCAGTTGTGCCCTTTACCAAGGAGGAAACTTTTCCCCAGCAGCCCCAGCACACACATCCTCTCTCACGTCTCATGACCCTGCAGCCAGAGAGCTTTCCTCAGCGTGGTTAGCCAAGGAATACATCTGAGGGAGAGAGGACATAGCTGTTAGGACATCTAATGACGCCACCATGTCCGGCAGCTCTGGTATCAAAGGTCTTGTTTCAGCAATTTTCAATGAAAGGAAAGGACTTACACAGACGTCCTCACTTTAGCTGTGCCTCAGACTGCATAGTGCTTCTGGCGTTCTGTGTCTCTGAGTGGGATTCTCTTTTTCTCCCACAAGGGGTGTGGTTTCACTAGCTGTGTATACTTCAGACATTATGATTGTTGCTTCTCCTGGACACTTGCCTTTTCTTCTGCAAACCATAGCCATCCTTTGCAATCTATTCTTATTTGGGAAGTGGGACTCCAAGCACAGAAGAAGAGTTAGGGGTTTGGGACTAGTTTCTGTTTTTCTGCCCTTTTGTTTTTCTTTTCAGCCTTTGGGTGACTTGTAATCATGAACTCTGAGGTGCATTTTCTCTGCCTCTGCTACTTTCCTTTCTTTCCTCCTCTCTTCTTCGTCTTTGCCCATGTGTCTGTGTGACCTCACAGCCTCATTTTTGAAAACTGGAGAGAAAAAACATCACCTGTAATTGTACACTTAGTCACCACTATATTCTTTTCTGGTCTTTTCTTCCCTTGAGGATGCTTGTATATAGCATGCCTCCCAGCAAACGTCGGGTGCTGGCTCTGCCAGGCACAGGGCGCAGCACCTGATGGAGTCATTTCATCTCATAGGCCCAACGGCCCTATGAGTTGGGTGTAGGCACTTTCACTATCTCTGACTTACAGGTAAGACCTGGAAGGGAAGGGTGTGCCTTAGATCACACAGTTGATAATAGGTGGTTCAACCTTAGAATCTGAGTTCCTCATCTCTGCACTTTACCATACTTCACCGAGGCAAAGGGAAAAAGAGCCAGCCAGCCAAGAAGGGGCCATTGAAGAGGAAGAAGATGGGAACCCCACGATGGGGACCTTTTCAAGAGGGAGATGAGCAGGAAGCAGAGTGTCAGTGGCCAAAGACAGCAGAGAGGCTGACAGTTGTGGTGATTAGAGGTCACTGGTCCCCTTGGAAAGGGTGGTGGTTTCACTAGGGTGCTGACCATTAATGCCAGGTGTTATGTTACAGGGTTAGGAAGGATGGAAATTCAGAGGTTTACGTATATATATGTGTGTGTGTGTGTGTATATATATATACACACACACATATTTGTGTTTATGTAAGTGTAAAACATGTTCTATAATAGCATATATGGCTCTTACAAGTATTGCTTGACTTTTGCACTTGTACTGCTGTGCTTCATACAGAAACTCAAATCTCATTAAGTGCCTGCCTGCTGTGTGTCATGTACTTCATACATTGCCTCAGCTCATCCTCAGGAGCCTCGTGGATGAATTTTTCCTTCGTGATCTGCAGGGTGGGCAGTAACCCAGTGTTCCCTTGATGTGGCTAATAGGCCCTAAGGGTAAACTTGGCGGTCACCTTCTTCCGCATGGCGGGGAGAGGGAGAACCTCCATGGGCAACCACATTGGGTCCTGTGTCTCTGACTGTGTGCTCTGCAGACAAGCCAGACAGAACAAGGGTTATAACAGTTGGTGACCCCTAGAGAGTATGGTAGGTGGCGTCGGTGTCATGTGAGTCAGAGAGCTTGCGCCCTCCCCAGCTGAAGCACAGGAAAGATCCTGGGGCCTAGGACAAGGAGGCCAGGCTGAATTTTATTTTCCGTTGAGACCCTGGCAGATAGCATGCTGCCAGACACCTAAGAGATGCTCAGTGTGGTTTGCATTGTTACTTTGCTGCTGTCAACTTGTGTGACTTTAGGCAACACTGCATGTCGGTGAGCCAGTTGGCATTCCTAAAGGGGATGATGGCAACACCTTCTGGGTTGTTTGAAGATGAGATAATGTGCCTTGTGGATTCTAAAGTTTTAAAGACCAGAAAGATGCCTCTCTGTTGCCACTTCATATAAGCACAAATATTCGGGAACTCAAAAACAGTACAGTTTTTTTCATTGACATTATTC